CGGCTGTGCTCGGTCACTTGTGTGCTGCCTGCCCGGCCTTCGTCCCCGGCACTCGCGTTGCTCCCGGCCCGGCTCTTTATGTAAATGACAGCTCTGCAGCTGCGGGGAAAGGTGACTTTATTCTGGGAATTTTCCAGTCAGCTGACCCAAGTCATCCCTCCCAAACTGCTGTACCTGGAGGTTGCTCGGATTTCCAGTGCCTGCTCGCTGACGGGCTTGGTGCCGTCTGTGACCTGAACGCTGCGATCTGTATCTCGCCCGATTTGGGTGTTCGTCCTCCCCCCCGCACGCGTTGCGCACGCCCCGCGTCGCTGTCCCCGCGCGGCTGGGCGGGCGGGGGCAAGGCGGGATGCAGACTCCGGAGAGTTACTTGTTCCTCTTGTCCCGAGTTGTCGGCCGGTCTGCGAGAGCACGAGGCCGTGGGGCCTCGGGGAGCAGGGATGGAGCAGGCTACGGGTTTGCTGTCCCTATGCTTGCACAAAGAAATTTTAAAAAAAAAGAGAGATGGGATGGTGAGGGGTCCGTGGCACCCCGTACTGCACCAGGCTGGGTTCCCTGGACCCCGCTGGCCGCACTGCGGCGCTGATGCTGGGGGGGCCGAGGAGCTGGGGCTGACCGCGGGTCCCCGTTCTTGAGTGGCACCAGGTGCTTCTCTCCAAATCCGGCTTCTAAAACCTGCTCCTGTTCCCCACGCAGGGCTTTCTTCCTGGCTCTCTTCAAGCACCTGATGTTCCTGGAGAAGAGAGGCTGTCCCCGGACAGCCCTGGAGTTCTGCAAGCTGATTCTGAGGTAGGTGCCCCCGCCGAGGGCTGCGCTCCGTCCCCTGCGGGATGGGGCAGGGTGTCTCAGGCTTGGGGGAACGCGCTTCGAACAACGCACCGAACCTAACCCGGGCGGGACAGAAACCCCAGAGGTGTACTGCTGCTCCCAGGCTCAGCGAGGGCTTGGTTCCGCTCCTCATAGGTGCGGTGTCACAGGTTAGTTTTGAGCACGTGCTCTTACCTGTGGTGCTGCTGCTTTGGAGAGAGGCGATTGTTGAGGAGGGGGAGGCTTGAACAGATGGGACCTGGGTGGCCCTTGCTCTCGACTGCTGAGCTGCGGGCCTGGCAGA